CCCTGCAACAGCACCACTGCACCACTCACGGCAACAACTGGCTGCAGATGGTGGACCAGCACGCAATAGAATTCCATGTTAAAAATAGCCATGTAAAGCAAAGAGACAGTAGTGATACTACTTAAGCTCGCATGGCCACCAAAAGCAGGGGGGCAGGGGACAAGTGGCTGAAACCTAATATTCATTTGCTAATGACTAGTCATTAGTACAGTATATAAAACTAAGGCAGTGTGCTACAGAGGCAAGAACAGCCTATTTTAATTCTTACACCACCATTCATACATTGCCACTAAATAACAACGAAGAAAAGGTTTCTTATGAGAGTAGAAGCCTTTACTTTTCCAGGTCTTCCTACACACAAGTAGGACGACTGACAGTTCTGAAGAGCACAACTACAGCTTGTCTTTGAGTTAAAATGCACTACTGACACTATACAGTCTGTGTATAAACTACTGAAGAAATTCTGAAGTTAATTTTATTCCCTGAGCTGGCTTATTCAAGATGGGCTGTCCTACCCTAAGGCAGGAATCCTGCCCTTCCACTACTCCACTTCTTGCACTGAAAATCATTCACACAGTCAACCAAGTCAGGAACCAGCCATGCCTGAGAACTTGCAGTCAGCTGCTAGGACCCTAGAGGAAAGGACTGGAGAGACAGGACTGCTTCTTTTGACAAGTAACAGCTTACGGTATCTGCTACAACATACAAGACTGTTGATCAGTCTGTATCCACTGTTTGAAGAGAGGGAACTGGACTCAGGTCTCAGTCAGTGAACACTGATGAATGCATACAACGGGCCCAGTTGGTTCTCAGCAAAATCATACCAACACAGCACAACTCCATTCACTAAGTGTGGACAGAATCCACATCTAAAACAGTGACAGAAGCTGGATTTGACCAGAAGCAGAAGTATAGAAACACACATTTGCATAACAGTTGCACAGCGAGTTCATTCATCATGTGATAGAATACAAAAAGACATTTGGAAATTGTACAAGATAATATAGTTAAGATTACAGTAACTAACAGGCTAAGAAGAATACATATTACAAGCCTGTATTTCCTATTCCGCTGTAGACACAGAGAACTAGATCCAAGCTGGGAACGTTCAGCTGTATTTTTCAGTGGAGCCTTTGGATACAGATGTATTTTTCAGTGGAGCCTTTGGATGCAGGTTTTTTTTTCAAAGGGGAAAAAAAGTCAGACTATGTGCCATAAAGTAACACTGTGCCCCTAACCCCCTAAACTGCATGCTTGATGAGGCTACAACTCCTGTGGAGCACTGCCTCATTCAGGGAGGATACAACGGATTCATACAATGGGCCCTTCATTCCAAAACTACTGGCCAAGATGGAAAGTTTTACTCAAGTTACACACAGCAAATATCACTAAGTTTGAAAGGACACATACACAAGTAAGAGATACAGCACACGTGCCAGCGTAAGGAAGAAATAGAGGGGTGCATCCAGCTCAGAGGCTGCCAACTAAACTGCACCACAAAAGACTGAGACACACACACTTACAATACAGGCAAAAAAGCACAGAACAACTTCAGTGCTCAAACCTCTGTGCAAGAGAGTTCAGCGGTCAAGTTTGTGTTGCCTTAAACAAAATGCAAGTCTGAAAGAATGAGCTTGCTTATTTATACAACAGCATTTCCTAAAATGTAGTTTTCAGACACCACATTCATTATCAGTGACCAATCTGAAACACTACTTAAAATTGCAACAGGTTTCTAAATCCAGCTTTTGATAAATATAGCCTACTTAAGGGGCTCCTTTTGAGACTACTCAGGCTCCAGTAAGCTATGAGTATGCCGTCTCATCAGCCGACCCTCATATGAAATGCCATTCTCTATTTTGTTATGAAGCATGTATTTTTTATAGTCTATATACTTAACCCAGGGAAGTTGCTGTAAACAAGACACCACAGGGTATGTCTGCCTCAGGGACTCTTGATGCTTAAATTGCACTTGCACTCCCTCAGTGGTCAGGATCACGGAATAAAACTGCTTGCCTTCATCGGACAAATTCCCAATGGACTCTGCATCCACAGAACTGCTTGGAGCTTTGTGGCTGCAGAGCTGCAGTGTGCAGCACCCACGTTCCCAGCTGTTCTCTCCCTGATCCGATCTGTGATGACAGGGAATGACTTCTGTTCCCTCTCAACCTAGAGAGGGACTGCTGTCCCGCAAATGACCTCTGCAGCATGCCAGGCAGTCCCAGCAGGGAGGAGGGATGGAAGCAATCATGCTAGTGAGCTGCTCAGAGGGATACTGGCCGTAAGCCACAGCTGGCTGCAAGACACCGCCTTCCTCTGCTGTGCCCTGAGTGGCAAGAAGGGGAAGTCTGAGCAAGGCCATTAGAATAATATTCAACCCGCAAAGAGCCAGCAGATTCAGGATGACTAGAAGACATGCAGAAACACAGCCCTCAAAATATATCATTATTACCACCAAATAATACATTACAAATGAACATTATGAGTGTGACCTCATAAAGAAGGACGGTGCATGTCACAGCTTAATTAGCAGCTGTCCCACACGTGGCGATACAAAAACCAGATTTCGCTTGAGAAATCAGAATGTGTTTGTTGGCAAAAATCAGAACATACAGGTACCTAGACTCAGAGGATCTAGAAAGCAAAAACATCAAAATACGAAACGTATCAGCGGAACTCAGTGTTGTGGGTGTAATTTCCACAAATCCATATACTATTAGGCTGAAAGAGCTCCTACAACTTTCCTGTCACTAAAGGCATCTTGTTGTGCATTCTTTTAGACCCCAAAGAAAAATTTTTATTAGTAAACTCTAAGAGTCAACCCAGACCATATTTCATCTCCAAGTTTCCTGAAATCAGGATTTTACAAAGATTTGTTTTCTGTCACACTAGTTCATGTATACTATTTAGCAGGTTTTGAATCACTATATTTTACATGATTACCATATAAATTTTTCATTATAACTAGTACCAGCTACAGCTATCAGTACAGGAATTTAAGTTATAAACCCTGACTCCTGCCAACTACATTTCAACCTAACGACTGCAGAGCAGGTTTAGATCTATGTCAACCTTCAGTAGACTGACCTAGCTGGCTGGCTGCCTGCTCCAGCCTCCCCTACACAGCCAACTAGCCTTTCAGGACTAATCCCCTATTCCTTTGACAGCCTTTGGAGATAACCACT